TGCTTGGATTTAGCTTCGGCCTGAGTTCTCCCACCCAGCCCCTTGCAGTCTCTAAGCACCGAGTTAGAATATCATCCCCTCAGCAGTCCAGGGTGGCAATATACAGTTGGGTATCATCAGCATACTGATGATGATGCACCCTAAACTCAGATGACTAGCATTTTCAGATAAATTTAAAGAGCGGGGGAGAGAGGACTGGACCCTGTGGTACCCCATATGTTGGCCACTGGATTGACCTCTCATCCACAGAACAGACTGTCCACTGAGGAAGGACTGAAACCATGCAGAACGGCGTCTCCAATCCGCAACCCTTGCAAATGATCCATTAAAATACCGTGGTTGATGGGCTCTTATTTCAATTAGCTAATAACTGTCCTAAGCTGCAGTTTATCTTTCCCCCACTGGCATAACAATGACTGCCTGGGGTTCCATCTTTCTTCTGAGAAAAAACATGCAAAATGGGAATTCTGCTTTTTCACCATCGGTTAGGGTCCCTCTCTGTAAAGCTTCCACTCATTCATTAATATCTTACCTCCAGATACTACAGAGAATAAATTTGAACCAGATTTATTAAGCCATTGTAGACCCAACAATACTGTACAATTTTTGTCCAGGATCCAACCTTCCCATTTTAGAGAAGGCTGTTGAGAAGGTTGTGCAACAGCTTCAGAGGATCCGAGATGTATCGGGTTACATGGACACCTTTCAGTTGGGTTTCAGGCCTGGGGTGCAGGAGTGAAACAGCATTGATCACATTTCTGGATGATCTCTGAAGTGAGTGGAATTGGGCTTGTGTATCCGTCCTTGTTCTTAACGTCTCAGCAGCCTTCGGTATCATTGACCGTGGTATCCTGGACTGAACCCTTTACAGGGTTCCATAGGGTTTGGTATTTTCTCTGCTCCTGTTTAATGTTCATAGGAAGCCACCGGGTGAACTCGTTTACCGCCATGGTATGAGGTATCATCAGTGTGTTTATGATACTCAGCTATGCATCTCTGCCCTTGGCAAATTAAGTGATGCTGTCAAGGTCCCGTCTCGGTGTCTGGAGGCTGTGGAGTTTTGGATGGGGAGCAACAGGCTTCGGCTCATCCTTGGCAAGACCAAGTGGCTTTGGATCTTGGGACCTTCTGATTTAACAGATTTACTGTCTCTTGTTCTGGATAGGATGGCACTGCCCCAAACAGACCCTGTACAAAACCTGGGAGCCCTCCTGGACTCATGACTCCTGTTTGAAGAGCAGCTGGCAATCATGGCCAGGAGGGCCTTTGCACAACTTTGTGCCAGTTGTGCCCATTCCTGGATCAGGAGGTCGTACTCTTGGTCCCTCGGGCCTTTTAATTACTGTAATGTATTCTATATGGGGCTGCCCTTGAAGAGCATTCAGAAGCTGCAGCTGGTGCAAAATGCAGCTGCATGGGCAGTTATGTGTGCTCCTCGTTCAGTGCACATTACACTTGTGCTCTGTGAACTGCGTAGTTGCCAGTCTGCTCCAGGGTTCAATTCCAGGTCTGCTAATGACCTATAAGGCCCTACGTGGCGTGGGACCAGGTTATTTAAGGGACCACTTCTCCCTGGTTACATCTACCCATCCCATCAGGTCTGGAAGGAGAGGCCTGCTCTGGGTCCCCACCACTAAGGAATGTAATCTGACCCGGGAGGAGAGCCTTTTCTCTTGTGGAACATCCTCCTCCCAGAGATTAGATTGGCCCTGACCTTTCTGGCCTTTCAGAAGGCCCTGAAGACGTATGT